TTCTTAAATTTATTCCTAAATGAAAATTTCCATTTTATAGTAGTTTGAGAAACATATTCCATGGCTGGTACTTTGAGTAAACATATTCTGTGGATTCACAAAATCATAAAAAAAAAAAACAAAAACTATGAAGTGATATGACCAAAACAAGGGTATAGGATTATTCAAATGCTGATACTGTTTCTTTCTGGCATCTCTAAATTCCATTTTCTATGTTTTCTACTACTAATATTTGTGAATCTGCACATTTGTGGACTTATGAAAGTGACATACTTGAAAGGTTTTGGAAGGAAAAGCGAGAAAAGCACTAGATTCTTAACAAAAAAGAAAAAAGAGGTCGTTAAGTTGTTGAAGGGTGACATCTATTAGGGGAAAAAACTAGCTGTTAAGTTTATATAATCATGCGAAAAGAAATTCATAATAACCATTGCTAGAAAACAGATTATACTAGCAAATAGCTAAAACATTGGAAGATACAGAATTAAGTGTAACCAAACCTGAATGATTTGGCCAGAAAGTAGAGAATAATGGTATAGGTAATTACAATATCACCTTAAAAGAATGTAATACCCAGAAAGTGAAAGAAATATGGAGCTATCAAAGCATGGAGATGTTTCCTTCTATGTTTCCATTCATAATATGTTTATTTAAAAGAAAGAAAGAAAGAAATTCTGTCACAATGGTTTCTTTTGATAATGTCACTCCTCGTTTTGTTGGGATTATTTAATTCTCAGGTGATTACACGGACATGGCAAACCGCTCACAAGATGAAGTTGCAGAGAGGAAGAACAATCGAACCTAGTAGTTGTGACAATGATAACTTCCGAGTCAAGCGATACATAGCGAAGTACACAATAAATCCAGCTATGGCTAATGGGATTTCCCAATTTGTTGGCTCTGTTGAGGTAATATATATTTTTACTCTGATTATTTCGTGGAAGAAGTAATTGTATGACAAGATGGAGGGCGTAAAATTTCGTGGTGACGACAAAGTTTGTGACCTTTGTTCATGTTGGAGTAATTGTACTAGGTTCTAAGCTAAACAAAAGTCGTTATACAACATGATTAATGGTACATACTAAGTGCAGAAATAATATGGGCTATTGTAATGAAATTGGAAGATGAAAGATCACTTTACACGTGTATTTGAAAAGTTTTTCAGGAGATACGTTGTGCCGAAGAAAAAACATCCGCTTATTCTAAACATCACACTTGTTTCTGTCCATTGAACATAATGTTTAGTATTTTATGTTCTTTGATATATTGACCTTGTTCTAGATGAATCTTGAGTAATTGGCCCATTTTCATTTATCCAAATATGGAAATTCATTGTTGCCCGTCATGACTCATGAAGCCATTAAATATATGATTCTATGTTAGAATTTATTATTTGACATTCTGAAGTATTATTTCATCTTTTGCAGTTTCATTTGCATTTTCACATGCACGCATAGTAGATGCTTTTAACAAGATTATTTGCAGGCTGGAAAATTTGCTGATCTTGTCTTGTGGAAGCCTTCATTTTTTGGTGCGAAACCAGAAATGGTGATCAAAGGTGGTGTAATTGCTTGGGCCAATGTGGGTGATCCAAATGCTAGTATCCCTACACCTGAGCCGGTAACATTAATTTAGTTTGTTTTTGAATTTTGCTGCTTTCTTGTGAATTAATTGCTTATGCATCATCTTATAAAGTGAATAAGCATCATCTTATAAAGTGATGGAATAGTAAAACTCAAAAATGTAGTGCAATTGATTTGCACATGATGGAATTGTTAAAAAAAACAAACAAATAATTATATTACCAGTGCTATTTCATTTGGGAAGTTAGAATTCATATAGTTTGTATGTTATAGGTGATGATGAGACCAATGTTTGGTGCATTTGGGAGAGCTGGAAGCTCCAGTTCTATTGCTTTTGTCAGCAAGGTAAGTTATCTACGTACAGACTTTTGTTATCTACGTACAGACTATTTTACAGAATTATCCACCCTGAGATTTGTGAAGAATGTAAACAAATGACAAAACTAAGGTCTCATCAACTAATATTCATAATCTGGTTTGTTATTAATGAAGGTAATATTTCTTTTCGAGAAAAGTAGTCACTGATATTTATTCTTTGAAACAATTTTTGTCACTCCCAAGCGAGAACATCCCAATAGGATGCCCATCATAAAATTTGCTTATTATAAAATGTTTCTATGATTTCTCTCTGAAAATGTTAGCTTATCACTTCTTGAATATATGATTTGGCTAAAAATGGGAGGCTATAATTAGTTTTGGAGTTCATAGAAATTATTAAATACTAGGGACTTTTTGTAACGTGTATCTCCAAAACAACACCCAAAAAAAGCAAACAGACCAACCAATGCTATGGGGCAATATATGAAATTTCTAAGAATGAGTTCATGGATTCCTACATTTATGTTGTTTGACATTTTGTTCTATATTACAACTAGTTTCATATGACACTTGCTTCCATTTAGTATTTAGCTCTATCAGGCATTTAGGGACTGTTTGGGTGATATATTTTAGTTTTGGAAATCTAACTTCTCAAATTTTCTAATTTTGGTTTGGTGGAGATAGAAAGTTTGAGTGTCAGATACAATTTTCACTCTCTTCGAAGTCCTTGTGAGAGAACAAAAATTCTGACAGAGGATTATGCTGAAGTGCCAGCAAAATCCAATAACAAACAAATATTCCCTCAAAACAAACAATACATTTCGGTGCATGAAATCTGCAAAAGTATACAGTTCTTTCGTGATTTCTCTTAAAAGTTGTTGCTAAAATCGATTATTATGTTCATAAGAACTATTATACACATGTGACCCTATTCACTTGCAATATAATAGCTTTGCTGACTGAGATTCTTGATGAATGTTAGGCTGCAAAAGATGCTAGCATTGACAACGAATATGGGCTTAAAAAGAGGGTTGAAGCTGTGGGCAACGTGCGGCGATTATCAAAACTAGACATGAAACTCAATGATGCACTACCCAAGATAGATGTGGACCCTGAGACTTACACTGTGACTGCTGATGGTGAAGTCCTCAAATGTGAGCCTTCATCCTCAGTTCCACTCTCTCGAAATTACTTCCTCTTCTAAGTTTCAGCTGAAATAATAAAACGAGTAACATCTGGAAAGTGGCATAATATCCTCAGAGGATGATACGTTTGAGTTGCTTGTTTTCTGTATGTCGTAGAAAATTGCTTTTGTTAGCCACTAAAATGTCAAAAGTTTGTTTGGTATGCCAGCTAATGATGAATAAAAGGGGAACAAAAAAGAGGTATATAAGAAGTTTCTGAGCAATTTTTTCACTTACATATCTAAGTTTGTGTTAGGGACCAACTCCGAAGTTATGGTGAGAATTGATGTTTATGTTTTTATATTCAACATGTCCCCGCATGTTGGACGTCTTCTTTAGGGGCCGAAACTGGGACTCACGTGGCTGATGTTAATTTTTAGAAAATCCGTTTTAAATTCGTGACGGGTGGGATTTAAACTTGAGTTGCTCTGATATCATTTTAAAATAAGTCTTTCTAGCCATTACACCAAAGCTTTGAAGTTTATTGTGAGAGTTAATTTTTATATTTTTATATTCTAACAGTTAGTTGTTATCAAACACAAAAAATTTAAGTATTGGAGTATAGAAGTTCAGGTTAGATATTGGGTAAATTATAAAAAAAGAAATTTAACCCAAATTTACGTTTGGGAGACGTCTTGAATTATTGGAGTTCTAGCTCCTAGTGGAAGTAACTTGGTCTTCGATGCACGTTAAGATTCTATTTTCTTTACGAAAATACTCTGCGATGTTATCATTTGATAACAATTGAAAAGATTAAGAAAATGAAATTTCTACAAAAACACAATCGGCTCCACGAAGAGTGCCAACGAAGGACCGTACCATCAGAAGCTCATTACCAGAGATAACCCCCAGGTGCGATTTGAAATAAATCAAATGCTGAGTGGGTTGTTTTCGTCGAAAGTTGCCTTCATCATTGATTTCATTAAACTTTAGTCATTACAAATGAATTCAAATAACAAAGAAATAAAAATTACAACTTTCTTGAAAATAAACGCAAGATCCGTTTATCGTCTCTTGCTTACGTGGGTCTTTGGCCTGTGACGGGGACGTTGATATCCGTGGACCACCTGGCACTCNTATAATATTAGCACAGAAAGATGATGCTTAACGTATGTAAGTACATTATGACAATGTACATGAAGCGACTTGATCATAATTTTACATGAAACAACTTGATCATAATTTTGATATAAGTTCCTTTTTGGGCACTCAATTTGACCGCATCTATGTTTTCTAATTAACCTCACCTACTCCCGATTAGGGTCTTGGTCAGTAGATTATTAGTTAAGGTTCTTTTCGCTCACCATGAAGCATGCAAGTCAGTTATTTATAGGCTACGTTTGTTATTGTTTAGACTAGTCATGTTTACTAGTAACGGGTTTTGCATCTAAATACCCAATTTTGATTCTATTTTGCTTTGTTTTTAACTTCCCCTTTTCATTGTAGTAGGAAAAGTTGTACCCATAACGTGGGTCGAAGTTGAATACCAAACTCGTATCGATGTCAACTACGATTCTAACATAATTGAAAAACATCAGCAAATTTCTTTTTGCGAGGTGGAAGCCTGATTATTGTATAAAAGTTCAAGCATTATAAATTTAAATTGCAAACTTGAAATGATTACAAAATTGGAAGTCATTTTCTTCAGTATAAAATAATATTAGCATGTTGATAAGAAGATGATATATAGTGATGTTAATATTTGTAACAAGACGTTCTAGATTAATCAGTTTAATGTGATCAGAGATCATAACGAATTCCAATTATAGGAATCAGAAGAGTAGGCTCAAAGGATTAATACAGCTAAAACATAGAAGAATATTTCATTCTAATGAATACTATCTACGTATATTAAATTGATGCTTGCATATGCTAAAACTACTCTCATCTCAACTTGCCAACCCAAAACTCTCCTCCACAAGTAATCCCCTCAAGCTCCCCTACAAATACTGAACACCATTCTACAATCACTTAAGCCAAAACCAAACTTTGATCATAGAACTTACATTCAATGGCTCTTTCTAAGGCCCAACTCTCAAATTTCACCTCCCCTTCTCCTAAACTTCAACAATGGAGCAAAGCAATTAGTCCATCTCTTCTAGTGATCAAGCCAAGGCTTCTGAAAACATTCATTGCTCCTTTAACCTGCAAGAAATCCTCGGATGGTTCTTTATCGAGAAAAAATACGAAGAAAGGTGAGACTGATTCAAAAATGGTGATAGGGAGGAAGTTATTTCCTCCTGGTTTCATCTTTGGTGCTGCCTCTTCTGCTTACCAGATTGAAGGAGGAGCTAATGAAGGAGGGCGAGGGCCGAGCATTTGGGACACTTTCTCTCATGATCATCCAGGTGTTTAGTTTCTTGACTTAAGATAGTTTGCACAGTTTAGAAACTTTTTTACTCTTTTATCCTCTGAGAAAAAGAAAAAGGTTTTTTTGACAAATAGACCTCTTGAGGATAGAAGAGGCGAAAAGAATATTAGATGATATTATAGGGGGTCTATCCACAACAATAAAGCTATAAGGGGTCAATCAAGACTCCGATGAACTCTACCTATTTTCAGTATGACAAACTAATTTGATTAAGTATACCGATTTGAAAATCAATTCTTAATTTTTTTGGTTTAATTTTTTCGCAGAGAAAATAGATGGAAGTACAACAGGAGACATTGCCTGTGACTCATACAATCGATACAAAGTAAGTAAAAACTATCATCTTACATTCACTTGTATATAATATATATCTGATGTTAAAAAAAATATCTCCAACAAAAATTTCAGGAAGATGTTAAGCTGTTGAAGGATGCCGGAATGGATTCTTACAGATTTTCCATCTCTTGGTCAAGAATTCTGCCAAGTGAGTAGATCATGATTAACATTGTTTTTCTTTAATTTTCTTATTTACACATTATTCCTAATTCTATGCTCCTAGCTAGTCCCTTTTTGTTTTTTTTTTGGTTCCTTGTGCATCCTTAACGTATTAGTTCATTTCTTGTAGAGGGATCACTAAAAGGTGGTATAAATCAGGAGGGAATACAATACTACAACAATCTCATAAACGAGTTGCTAGCAAATGGTATATTCACCGATCTTTTATTTTCTCACTAATTTCCAAAGTGAAGTTATATTAGTAACTGTATCAATTTTATTATTGATAGGTATCAAGCCATTTGTTACGTTATTCCATTGGGACACTCCACAAGCACTAGAAGATGAGTATGGAGGTTTCTTGGACCGTAAAATCGTGTAAGAATTTCTCTCATTGATAGCATTTCATTCTAACGAATTTAAAGATTTCGTAACTCTATTCATTTCTCTTTTATTTTACAGGGATGATTTTAAGGATTTTTCTGAAATATGTTACGGAGAGTTCGGAGATAGAGTTCAGCACTGGATTACATTTAATGAACCATGGACATTTGTTTCCTTTGGTTATGATACAGGCTCGTTTGCTCCTGGAAGATGCTCAAAGTCTCTAGGATGCTTGGCTGGTGACTCCGCAAGAGAACCTTACATGGCCTCTCATAACCTTATTTTAGCCCATGCAGTAGCTGTAAAACTTTACAGAGAAAAATTCCAGGTGCACTATTATTCACTCACTTGGTCAATTACAAAATTTCTTCATATTTATTGTTTTTCTTACTTCAAATTATGTTGTCATTACCATTGTAATTATTTGTTATGTAGGCTACACAGAAGGGAGAAATCGGAATTACACTGAATACTCAGTGGATACTGCCATTCTCTAACTCGAAGAAAGATATTGAGGCTGCAGAAAGACAACTAGACTTTGCCTATGGATGGTTAGCTCATGGGCCATAAAAATAATTAGAGAATTTTTTTTTTCATTTCATTTTGACAGAAAGAAATACACAAGAGAAAGAACGTAATGGTAGAGTTTATCTTGCATCCTCTCTAATAAATTTAGTAATTTTATCTTGCAGAGAATCACTATTAATAATTTTAAAGCTAATGCAAAATGTAATAATTTTTCTTTGTTAAAATGTTTTATTAACTTACATAAGTTAAACAAATTATTAATATTGATACATTTTATGATTTTGATGGAAACTTTTATTTCTTGAAAGGTACTTGGACCCCTTAGTTCATGGAGATTATCCATTCACTATGAAGGCCATTGTGAAAGATAGACTTCCAAGTTTCACTGATGAAGAATCAAATATGATCAAGGGCTCCTATGATTTCATTGGGATTAACTACTATACAGCAAGATATGCTTATAGTCTTCCAATTTCAGCGAATGATTCGGCAGATAGCTACACCTTGGATTCATATGTGGACTTAAAAGGTACATTAAGCAAAAAAAAAAAGAAAATGAAAAAAAAGAAAAATGAATTGCTTGTTAATTTACAGAAATAATGTTGTTTCTTTTCGTTGAACATACATACTGTCAAGTAGTACACGAACATAATAGTCTAATCTATACACGTGGATATATGACATTCTGTGAAATTTTAATGAACAAGTGAAATGGAAAATACAATCATGGGATCATTTTACCTATTTACAAGTTTTGTAAATTACATCTGTATTAGCTAAATATAAACTACTAGTCGAAGAAAACTAATTTTGAAAGATTTCTATAGTATCTGACGGAATTTTTAAAGATAAATGGTCGGAACAACCTTGAATTTCATTACCAAGATTTTAACCCAAAAAAAAAAACATATTTTACAATATTTAGGAATTAGAAACAAGTTTTTGTAAAATATTATGACAACTTTCTACTGACATTTTTATACTTTTTTTTTCTAATGCAGCTGAGAAAGAAGGCATCCCTATTGGTGAAACGGTATATATGCCATATATGATAGTTGCATCAACCTCTTAAACAAACTCAATTTATTATTTATAGCTTCAAAATCATCTTAAATCAATTGATTATCACTTAAAATGAATGTTAATTAGTGTACTCATTATCCTTGAATCATCACATTTGACAAAAATATTTCTCTAGAACATCTCAAGTTAATTGACTTCGACGTCAATATTTGACTTTTCACAAATTGCAGACAGGAACTTGGCTCTATGTATACCCTGATGGAATACGAGACTTGATGGTGTATACACAAAAGAAATACAACAACCCTCCAATTTACCTCACAGAGAATGGTTAATACTTTCAATCCAAAATTCTTAACTTTGGACATAATAATATTGATGCTTCATGGTGAAATTTTCTATTATATAGGAACTTGTCAGTTAGAAAGCAAGGAGCTAAAACTTGAAGAAGCTTTGGATGACCAAGCTAGAATTCGATATTATGCACTGCACTTGGCTCAAGTTAGAGAAGCCATCCAGTAAGTATTTGAGAAGCTTTCAACAATTATTTAGAGAATTTTTATTTAAGAAATAATTTACTGATAAGTTTTTTATTATTTGTTTTCAAGGTTGGGAGTGAATGTGAAAGGATATTTTGCATGGTCTCTGATGGACAATTATGAATGGAACAGTGGTTATACTGTTAGATTTGGGCTCACCTATGTCGACTACAAAGATAACCTGAAACGCTACCCTAAGGCTTCTCTCAAATGGTTCTCAAAATTTCTCAAGTCTTAAAGGAGACAAAACTTATGGCTATTGATAAATAATGACGATATAAACTTTGAAATTTACATAAATGTAGCCCTCATAAACTTTTCAGAGTTCTGTTAGTGGGTATTTGTGATTGAAGTGAATAAATTGCACCTTGTCTTATTTGAATAAAATCTATAAATCTTTGTATTTTACGGTTTAACTGCTGGAATAGTAATAATATGCCCTTGAATATCTAATACAAAATTATGTAATATTATTGTAATGTTAATAGATTTAATTGTTGCACATATAATTTGGGTATAATTTATAAAAATTATGTAATATTATTGTAATGTTAATAGATTTAATTGTTGCACATATAATTTGGGTATAATTTATATAATTGTTATATATTATTGTAATGTTAATAGATTTAATTGTTGCACATATAATTTGGGTATAATTTATATAATTGTTATATATCATTAGAAATTATTTTGTTAGATCATGCACTGTGATGGTTACTGGTTTGGAGATGTGATCTAACTTAGAAATTTCTTAAATTTGTGCTTAACCTATAACTAGTAAAGGATAATTTATTATAACAGGTTATTATACATGTTACCGACATGTGAGATGTGGTGGTGGGCCTCAACCACTGGGAATGTGTATTTCTCGGGCGTATGTCATTAGCACATATTGTGATGTGTGTAGCACTCGACCGTATTTGAATTTTCTAGGACGAGTCACCTAAGATATAGAGAATTCAAATTGTTTCAGGGTCTTTTTGACTTGATGATATTGTCATTTCCGATTTGATAATTTAGTATGCTTTGATGTAATGGTTAAGCTTGTTTAGCAAACGCTGCACAGTCTAAAATGTTTTTTTAATTTGTTTTCTTACAAAAATAAAAAAATTTGATGTTTCAAAATGATTTTTATTTATGTTCATGAGAATTACAATTTAGGCATGAGCAAATAGGTGAATTGTCCTGCTCAAAAGAATTATCTAAAATAAATGATACTGGAGAGGACTGAATGTAAGATATTATTCATAAATAACTAATACCATATTATGGAAATGCTTTTATGAACAGTTGGTCGGATAAGGATTTAATTCTTAAATTAAAATTATTAATTTGACAAATAATTGGTTCTCAATATGGGATCCAATTAGTCTCACTAATATCATTGGAAGAGGTATACATGTAATACAATTCTATTTCTATTCTTAATTGTTATGGATGAAGTTTTTGAATAATTCTATTCTATCTTTAATTTTTATGGATAGAGTTTTGAACAATTATGAATTGTTTCAAATTAAAATCTCTAAGGCTAGTCTAATCCTATATATAGGGTTCATATGTAGCCTTACGAAGACACATAAAATCTTATAAAAATTACTATAAAGAAACACAAATTTGAGAACTTATCTCTCAGTATTGCTCATGTTCGGTGATATGTGGATTTCAATTGGAGGCTTTTTTTCTTGAGGGATTTCTGATTAATTTTGAAACAGAATATTAAAGAAAATTGGAAAGTGTTTTAGGCATTCTTCCAATTTCGATTAATTTTGATTAATAGTTATGATATGCATATTCCATCTTGTTGTTTGTCATGTTTTTAACAGATTATATCAGAGCAGGTTTAGAATCCGATCTTTGATGTTTAATTAGATTAAGCTATTATGATTTGATCATAACTTTTGGATTGTTAGATTAAATTATTGAACAATATGTTTTAATCTATGGGGTTTTATCGTTTGACAAGATTAAACTAAAATCTTTATTTAGTAAAATCGGATTACAATTCATGATGAAACTGTTCACCTCCTCGGGATTACTATTCACGGTGATGGACTATTATTCATCGATTCATGGTTAGGTTTTTTATGTTTTGATAAGAGATCAAAATTTGAATCATGTGATGATCTATGATGGGTTTAACTTCAAGATTTTGTAAAAAAAAAAGTTAAAAAAAATTATTTTTTCCCTCGCCACAGGTCGGTGACTAGCGGCCAAACCCGTCGGTGCGGTGGGCGTTCCACTGCTGCCACCGCCTGACCAAAGGCGACGGTGGCTGCCCCACAAAACCCTAGCTCAAACACTAGTTTATTCATGAAGAAGAAGAATTTTTTCTTATTAGGTTTACATTGTCATTGGGTTTTTGAAACCCAAACCAATTAGAAATACATTTTTAACTGAATGGGTTTAACCCATATTAATTTGAAACTCGAAACCCATTTAGAATTAAATTTTAAGTTAATCGGGTTTGACCCGATATAACTACCCGAAACCTAAATCCTATTATGAATATGATATATAATAACAAGTCTGGCCCACAAACAAAACCCCACCCGAACTGTATTAGATTTGAATTTTATTGTAAATTAATCAGAGAACCCTGATTGACCCAGAAACTATTCTAAAGTTCATCGGGTTCTCAAATACGCTATAAAATTACTTATAGCTCCCTGATAAATCCAAAAACTATTCTGAAGCCATCAATATGGATAAGTTACTGTAAGTTAGTTACGAACCCCTGTTTGATATAGAAATTGTTCTAGAGTCCACCCGTTTATTAAATTTGTTGTTAACTTACTTTCAGCCCGCTGATTAATTCTGAAATTGTTTTAAGGTCTATCTGAATATGTAGACTAATTTCTGCTTAGTTCCTAACAGTTGTAGAAATTGTTCTAAAGTCCATATAAACATATAGTTTAGTTTCTTTTATAGAAAAGATTATCTATCTCTTATTGAATTGTTAGAATTGATATTGTATCATGTATATTTCTAAAATATTATTTGAATTATACATGTGATATGATTATGTTGATTTTTAAATTGTTTAAATTCAATAATTCATATGATTAAAGTAATACATGGAAAATTACTGTTAGGTGCTGAATACGTTCTGAAATTTTTATTAAATATTACCAGTTTAGAATTTGTTAGAAATTGACTGTTTATTAAATTCACAAATTTATCAAGTTCTCTTAATCATGATAAATAATAAAAGTTGTTTAAAAGTGTAAATAGATTATTGTTTAAAGAAATAAAAATCTAACGATCTTCCACAGCAGGGATATAGTTCAAATAATAGCTTTAACTTATCTGAAGCCGCACAGGATAGGATTTGTTAAAATTTATTATCTAGTTATATCTTGCATGATGATGTTAAATATTTTACGTATAATGGGATCACTTGGCTATAATAGGAAGTGCAACCTGTTTTACATAAAATGATTGAATCGGTGGATGCACATTTAATTAATGTCTTGGGTGCTCACTACAATAGTGGAGTTAACTCTTACATCAATATACCAAAATTAAAGGAAAGTCATTAATTGATAATGATTGAATAGATAATTCTACATTGTTTATTTATATTCTATATTGACAATCTAGAAATATAAAGAGACTTGGATTTCTTGTTCACATTTAAATAAATGAAAGAAATGTTAAAAGGTGAAGGCATTACTTAAAATATCCGTGATAATGATTGTGCAATAATAAAATAATAATTTGAGTTTTTTACGTTACTATATTATGCTTATACATGATGACTAAAATTTATCATTTTGATATATCATTGAATGATTATAAGTTGAATAGTCCGAACTATTAGATTGAAAAAGAATGATTGTCTAAGGTGGCATACCTGCTAAACCAGATGTAACTAATGATAAAGATCATTATTCATAATCCTGCTTAAATATAATAATGATAAAAGTAGTGTTCATAAGATGAACATACATATATATTTTCATAAGATGTTTTGATATATCAACAAATTAGATTTGTTGGAAGTTAAGGTCAAAATCAAATGTTGATGTAATTTTTTTACTTCTATTATAGCCATTTTAGTGCTAAAAAGTAATCCCCAGCCAATAGCAGACAAGTATCCCACATTATGCATACTCAATCCAGCTCTTCAAGATAACCAAAGACGCGGCTCAGACGACTCGACATGCCAACATCTCTCGAGGACGACTCAAAAGGCGTTACATGTCGACCCATTGCTGTGTCGACTTCTTGACCAACCTACTCGACTGACCATTCTGCTGACATCTTGTGAGGATGACTCAAAAGGTGTTACTTCTCGACCTTCTACAGGACGAGTAGAAAGCCAAGGACTACCTCGAGGCTTGAGCCCCCTCTCGCGCACTGACAGCCAATCACCTCGCAATAAATACAATTAAATACATTATGAGTTCCATCATTCCTCTACCCTTAATAGTCTTTATGACACATCGAACCACGTCAGCACTGCACGCCCCCAATCACTTCACATTAAATGTCAAAGTGATCTTGTAGGATGTAAAATTGATCTTAAATTTGTATTCACTGAATTGGTATTACAAATTGAAAACTACTTTTACACAGAAGAGAGAATTGATTCGATCTCTTCTTGTTTAACATGGGTTCTTTGGTAGCGTTAGGATGCCTCACTCGATACTTGTCTCGAGTTTGCTTCCCTTAGATGATTTGAACAAGGTTGCGAACAAGTTTCAGCGCGTGGTAAAAACTTTATTTGAAGAGTCTGATCAACCGAGCTTGAAATCAAGGTCGAATGCTCAAGAGGTAAAATTCAGTTCTTTTATCTCCCAAAAGACTGATTACCTAAAGAATTCAAGATCTCAGAAAGCCAAGATCAAGAAAGATGCAAAAAACAAAGAATTAGATCTCAAAGATGCCAAAGATCAAGATTAATCCAAGATCCGATCTCCTGATGTCAAAAAGCCAAAAGATCCAAAAAAGTCCAGCTCCCCTTCTTTGTAGCCGAATATAGCTATTTATAGAGAAAGATAGTTATAACCAATCCTTTAGATCATGGGAAGTGGGCGTAACCACATCACAATTCAAGTAAGTGGTTTTTAACCACTCAGGCGAGCTTGTAGGCGAGCTTACAGGTGAAGTTAGCGAGCCTGGCGAGCTTGCAAGCGAGCTAGGCGAACAGGAGAGCTTGCAGGCAAGCTAGGCGAACAGGAGAGGTTGACAGGCGAACCCCTTAAGCGTACAGATGACCTTCAACCCTATTGGTGAGCTTGGATCATGTGGGCGAACCTCCTGCGGGCGAGCGAAGCATTCACGAGAGCTTAGCTAACTTGCTAGCTAAGCATTTAGGCGAGCTTAGTTAACTTGCAAGCTGGCGAACTAAGCATTCAAGCAAGCTTAGTTCTTTCTAGGTGAAGTCCAATGCTTAGACGAACTTCGCTTCGTCTGCGAAGTCAAGCATC